CGAGATATTTGTCCGTCAGCCTTGTCACGTGACCGCGAATGACTCAAAACTATTGTTAATTTTAAAATCTATTTCTTTACCAAGTAATTAACTGAGTATCTTGCAAACAAATAATAGAAAAAGATACTTGGGTATGTTACCAAAACGAAGTGGGGATTAAGCAATAATGCATTCTGAAAGGAAGCAATGCTGAGAGGGAGAGAGTATTACAGTAATAAAAAAAAAACGAATGCTAAAAAAATAATAGTGAGGGTGATAAATAATAAAGTTTAAGGCTGGGAGGCTGATAGTTCACAAAGAAATATATCCTACATCTTAATATAGGGCCGATATAGTGGTAGCCTAGTCTACTTCTCATGCAATACTAAATACTAATCCTGAAATACAACTTTATTGACATAGGTCTATCGAAGTCTACTGGTCTTATTTTATTTTTTTCATATTTTAAATTTAGGCTTCAAGGTAGAGGTTTACAAGATGTATTAACTAAGATAAGGGACTTTTTTCTTTGAAGAGTCGGAATCAAATATATAGGCTGACTAGTTTAATATTCAAGCACTTTATTTATTTCAGAGCATTTGAACATATTAACATGTTCAGCATTTATTTATTATCTAGGGATCGGAGTATCAAATGCAATGCAACTATTTTTCTGGAGACCACTTGTCACATGACCTGCTGGAATAATAAGGCCTACTAGTCGTCCGGCGGTCACGTAACATGCCCGCCGGACGTATATCTCCAGCACTATTTGTCTGGCGCGCCAGACGTGTAGACACTTCGTTAATTTAATGGCAAGTACCATATAGGTTTATTCTAAATAAGGTACTCAGCGGTAGTTCGTAAATTACGTCATGCTGAAATGACCTTTTGAGACACCCCCCTATCATGAAGTGTCACAAATTCGTTAACACCCATCCCCCCCCCCCAACCCCCTGGCGTCACGTCACACATAAAAAAATCAAAACATACATAAAATTTTCATAACTAAACTAAGATTTTATTTTATTCTTTATCATTTTCCCATAATGTATTAAGATGTTTGTTATTAGAAAACTGTGACGTAAAACACAAAACAACAAAGTCCTCCCTGAGCCGAATGTAAATTGGCCACAACAGTTTTTCCGTCATTTTTCGTTATGCGCAAAAGGTGTGAGTGAATGAGTTTCATAGTCCCTATAATCTTCTTCTTATGTCTTTTTATTCCATTCATCACGGTCCTGTGCTTTCCTTTCCAGTTGCTAGTACCTAAAATACCTTAGGCAATTTTGACCTCAAATTAACGTTTTTTCAAAATCAGAAAATTTTAAATTTAAAAAAAAAAAAAATGCGTTGTCACAAATTTTGTACCTATTTCATAGTCCCTATAATCTTCTTCTTATGTCTTTTTATTCCATTCATCACGGTCCTGTGCTTTCCTTTCCAGTTGCTAGTACCTAAAATACCTTAGGCAATTTCGACCTCAAATTAACGTTTTTTCAAAATCAGAAAATTTTAGATTTAAAAAAAAAAAAAATGCGTTGTCACAAATTTTGTACCTCCCCCGTCACAAAGTGTCACAAATTCTCGACCCCTCCCCCCTGAGTGTGACATAATTTGTGAATGATCCCTTATTGAGACCAACATCTTCAACTACCAGCTGAATCAAATACTTCAAACGGGTTTTAATATTATCTGACCTGCCCTCTTCTCAGTGAGCCATACATTGAAAAGGTTATAAAGTACCCCAAAAAAAATAAAACTACAAAATCTATGTTGAAATAAAGTTGAAAACTTAGGAAAAGCCACATAATAATATGGTGAAAGTCAACAGGAGCACATGTTAGTGTGTTGGTCACTGACCTAATAATTATATATAGATTTTACAATTAGAATTTTAGGCAAAGGAAAATTTTTTGTTTCTAACCAAAAAAATTTACTTTTGAAGACTGGTGATCTATTTAATATCAATACATTTTAATGAATTAAATTATGCTCCCTGATTACCAAAAAGTATATTTTGTGTATGTGCTAGATCAGCGGCTCTCAACCTGTGGGTCGCGACCCCTTTGGGGGTTGCATGACTCTTTTCCTGGGGTCGTTTAAGACCATCTGAAAACACATGCTCTACAGTTATGAATTAGCAATGAAAACAATTGTGTGGCTGTGGGTTTCCACAACATAACGAACTGTATAAAAGCGTGGCGGCATTGGGAATGTTGAGAACCACTGTGTTAGTGAGATTGAACATAAAATGACAGGGCAGAAGTGGAAGTGTTACAATTTTAAATAGCAACATCCAGAAATGATACTACATTATAAAATTGAGCCCTTAGGAATTCAAATATTAAATCTGCAATACAGTTTCTTTCCATATGTATCTTTGCTCATGGTGAACAATCCACCAATGACAGTAATGTCAAGAAAGTTCCTATTACCATCACTGTTGAAAGTATTACAGAGTGGATGGTCTGGGCCACTGCTCAGACCTCCAGCAAATCTTTTAATCCAAAAAAGGTTTAAATATTTTCCCTTTAGTTTAACTTGAAAAGCATAAGTACAAACCCTATAACATTTTGCTCACTTGATAACAATGTGTGATTCTTTACTTAAAATTCAGTGAACTCAATAAATTCTCCTACCAGACCTTCCCTTTAACTCCTGACATCAACCTGCTCTACCCTCTTTCCCTCACCTTCTCAACTTTATCTTTTCCCAAATCTCCCTACCCTAGACTCTTCATCTCTCAACCCCTTTACCTACATTTCCCCTATCCCATTCTCCCCTCTAGACCCTGTCTCCTTACCTCCAGCCTTTCTCTCAACCCTCTGCTTTCCCCAAACCCCACCTACTAGCACTCACTCTCCCGTAACCAATCACCACAGTTATTCTCTTTTTTTCCCCCAGCCCTTGTCCCCCTAACCTTACCCTTCTTTGCCCTTCCCTGCCTTTGACTTTCCTCATTTTTACCCAGGGGTTTCTAATAGTAATAGACTCCGGACACATTGTTGTCAGTTTGAGCTCCACTTCTGAAAAATTAAAAAGTGGGGAGGTGCTAGCTGGTACAAGAATGGGGCAACAGAAAAGTAGTCAAGTGGTACAATATAACTGGTAGAAAATATGGGGCAACATTGCTGAAGAAGAGTGGGGCAAAAAAGCTGTAGAAGAGTAGGGTAACATAGCTGGTAGAAAAGCTGGAGCTAAGTGGCAGTATGAGAATGGGGGCAACATAGCTGTAGGAGAGTAGGGTAGGGGTGCCGGAATCCGGTTCTGCCGGATTTTGCACTATCCGGTGAAATCCGGTTCCGCCGGATTTACATGTATCCGGAACAACCGGAATCCGGAATATACCGGATTTTGGAATTTGCCAGATTTTGTGACTCACCAGAGCATAATCTGAAATAAAAGTAATTCTCTTTCCCGAATTCCACACGATCACGATACATTAATCGATTGTTTCGAGCGTTGAGCTTGTTTAATGTTTAATATTCTGAACATACCAGAGGCTAGAGTCAGCACCGCTAATAGTGGTCAATCGGCCCAATCCCATACATGATAGTGCGGGGATGAGTAATTATTATTCGACCCCTCAGATTTACCGGTATCTGCAAAGTACCGGAATCCGGGAGAAACCGGAAACCGGATTATTCCGGAATCCGGATCCGTCAGATTTCGCATGAGAAAATCTGGATCCGGATCCGGTTAGAAAAAACGGATCCGGCACACCCCTAGAGTAGGGTAACAGCTGGTAGAAAAGCTGGGGCTATGGGGCAGTGTGAGAATGGGGGCAACGTAGCTGGTAGAAGAGTGGGGCAACAGTTGGTAGAAGAGCAGGGGCAACATAGCTCTAGAAGAGTGGGGCAACACCTGGAAAAAAAGTGGGGCAAAACTTTGCGAAGAGTAGGGGCAACATAGCTGTACGAGAATGGGGTAACATAGCTGGTAGAATATTGGGGTAACAGCTTGTAGAAAAGTGGGATAACTAGTGGCATCAATTCTAATTTTAAAAAAAAAATTTAATGAAAAGTTAAAACAATATATTATTTATTTATTTTGTTATTAATTTTACATTTTAATTTTGGACAAACTTATTAAAAAATCAACACCTATCCAATCAAATTCCCCAAAACTTTTTTTCTTCTGAGTCTGTCAATCTAATCTATTTAGATGAGTACATTCCATAAATGGTAGCTTTATGAAGTATATACTTCATTAAATTTTTAAAAGATTTAATCATGGGGCTAATTCTATTTAAAGTAATGTACAGGGCCAAGATACCACGGAATGGTGAATGTGTCACTTATCTAATGTCAATAAAAATGAGGATTTTTGCTTGCCAGTTTGTGTTATTTACTTATGTTATATATAATATATTTAGAGCCCCCCCCCCCCACCACTCAATAAGTACATTATGCACTACTACCCTAACTACCTTTATTCTGCTGCTGCTAGATTGTTGCTGTATTAATATTATCTCAAGAATTGTTCCTAAAATGCAACACTTCAATTGAGCTTCACTTATAAGTAGAAATACCAATTTATTTGTCTGAGAGGTGGGGATGTGAGTCTTGTTTGCTAAGATCTTGTCATCCTCTGAAGCTATGCTGAATAGATATTACCACAGCAGGTTCATTTGAATTCCCTTTTACACTCAACCAGCCATGTGAATACACCTTTCTTGCTTAATGTTGTAATATGGTACAATGCTATTCATGCTCTGATTCCCCCTGTGTAGGATACAGTACACACTTTCTTATGTCAGACAATACTTTTCACCCCCCCTAAAAGGTGTAGGCAGTGTAGATCTGTAATTATGTTCCCCCACAACCTTGTATTCTTTACAAATGCCCTTGAAAGGTGGTTGATGATAAGATTGTTAAACCCATGCCTGGGTGTGACCAGGGGAGGTAAACACAAACAGTCATGTGTAGCTGCTATAAGTCACGTTTTTTTTTAACTGGAGAATTTTTTAATTACCATAGTCATTACTTGTGTGTTAATTGTATTGCAAAGGGGTTCTGGAGTATTTGAACACACATCTATAATATAAACCAGTACTGTTATCATTAATGTTTATTTTTATCATTGGCTGGTTGGACTATGCCTTAGTTCTCTTTAAATACTTGACAGTGATGTTTTGGATTTTGAAATCCTGGTAAGGACTTTGGTCCATTATTTATACCTGTGGTTTCTGTTTATGGTCAGTTAAAATTGTAATTTTCTTGTGGGCATTATTTTATAACTTGTTAGTAGTGACTAAAATATTACATTTTCTTAGCTTTATTTGTCATTTTTGGAGATTAGGAAAAAAAATTAAACACTGTAGACTGTAGGTATGAGTATTTATTTATAGACCTTTACTTACTCTTTCCTTAATTATATTTCATCACTGAAAGTGGAGTTTACATGATATTATGTTAACAAATAGTTTACAGTAATTCTATTGTGGTGAATAGCTCATGACGTTAGACACAAATTTATCTTGAACATCATATTTTTGTTTACAGAGGATTGAGGGAGTAATGTATTTTGGTAAACTAAAATGTTGGAGGGGGAAGGGGATTATGGTGAAAATGTTTCTCATAAAAATATATACAATTTTTTTATTCACTGAATTACTCTGGTAGGTCCACTTTTAATTATTGTAAGGCTTTGGAATAAATGCTTTAACATATGTCAAGGCTATCCTTGTTTCATAACTCAAAATGTGTTGTTTTTTAAATATTGAGGCTATTGTTTTCAAAATGATATTTTTTTTTCCCAGTTCTATTACTATAACACTTTGAAACTATAATTAGTCACCCCTACCTTGTTGGTTTCTATTTAAATGACATCAATTGCTATGATGATGATGTTCATTCTTTTGTACTAAAATAATTCTACACCTATTTAGTGAAACATTTTGTGTGGTGACCTGTGTTCCTTCTTTTTTTTTTTCTTTTGTTGCTTTTAACTTTTATGCGTAGTTTTCTAAATAAAATGTTCTACATAAATTTCCAATAAGATTTGTCTTGTATTTAATAGATAACTTCAAGGAGAGAGGAGGGATATCCTCTTCCTGGTAATAGACCAGAAGTTTTGGGAAAGAGGAAACATTTGGCAGCAACAATGACCACAAAGTTTGGTTCCAAAGAAGTGACAAGGAAACTTACAAAGGTTTAAAAATTTTGTTAAATTTAAAATAATAAATTATCTCCAACATACTCTTTAAAAATGTAAAGAGGGTTGAAGTTATAGTTGTCATCATTTATCTTTGATCCATTTGTTGAAAGGGAATGTAGAGGCTTGTGTTATGGCATATAGGTAGGCCTAATTTTAGCATTGTGGCCAGCAACATTTGTCTCCCCTTTGTTTTGTTTTGACATTGACATCACTGATTAAATGTGCTGTGCCACTCCTCTTACCCACCCCTCACTTTATTGGGAAAAGATTGTTTATGTTTGAATATATTCTGTTTGATCTAAAGATTGCTATTAAGGGACACAATTTCTAAATTTCTTTTCTGGTTGGTTCTGATTCAGTGCCTATGTATAGGCCAGCAGCTTTCCTAGCCGGGAGATACTTTTTTATATTTCATAGACATACATGAGATATTATATAATTGCAATGTTGTACTCTTTATATGTGTGTAAATTAATATTATTATTTTTTTTAAGGATTGTACCTTTTCACTTGCTTTGCTGTAAATTGATATAGTTTTTTAGTTTCTATTTGATTCTGTATTCTTCATATAAATTTAATGCTATAACTAAGTTGAATATTGTTAGTATCTCTATCTTTGTTATCGTTTTCTTTGTATAGTAGCTTTTCAGTTCTTTGGTAAGTATTGTTCATTCTACGAGTACGAGCCAAATCTTAAAACATATTAAATTTTGAAAACCACATAATGTTACTTAAATCTTGGTTTAAAGAAGCTTGGCATTTACATGAATGACATATTTATTGATTGTGGTCAGAATAACTAAACACTTATTGAAACACTATTCATCAAGTTACAAAAGTACTTACTGGATATTTTTATATTTTGAAATAATAAAGTAAAGATATTCACTTAATATATATAAATTAATTATATTTGTATGATTATTTTATTAAATAACATTAAAGGAGAAATTTTCAGGGATTTTAATTCCATGGTCAATTAATCAAATATTCACGAATATAGAAAAAAACATTGCATTGATCAAACGTTATCTATTAATTTGATAATTCCTCTGTTGAATTGTTTTCCCGAGGTTAAAATTTTGTACCGCAACCTTGCATAAAATCATTATTTTATCAAACAACATATGTAATTTTCTCCAGGGACAGACAGTTTATGTGCGAGATGACAGGGATGGATGGATATCAGCATATGTGGTAGATGATTGTGATAAAAATTCGACAGTTGTGGTCCAGCTGGAAGATGACAGGGTAACACTAATTATATCATGAGATTAAAATTTTATTATAGCCATGCATTACAGAATTCAGGGTATTTCTGTTAACCTACTTCATATTGATTCAAAAAATAAGAATAAGATTTTTTCCTCTACAATCACAGACAGAAATTATGTTTAGTGTCAATGTGTTACGCACTGACTTGTATTGGGAGAAATTAATCTCCTATTTTAATTTTAATTTGGCTCGATGTAAACAGTGCCTAACAAAGGACGATACCATAGAATCAACAATTATTAAAGATACGACCCAAAAAAATTACAATCTTCAACTTACAGTATGGCAGATGTCGTACCGGTACACACTTAATACAATTAGAAATAATGATGCCAATAAATAATGCGGAATAAACACATATAAGTAGGAGCACACAAATACACAAAGAATAAAACACGCCTCGTAATGTTAAGAAAATCTATGTGAAAAATCTCCGTCCCCTCGTGCCTGTCAATCTCTTATATATATGTAGAGTAAGATGCTTCGAGAAGGGCTTATGACGTGTTGTTTACATATCTCGGGTTAAGGAGTATATTCCAGAAATTACCCGAAAACAATCTACCCAATGCGTAATTGGAAGCCGACTGTAAACAAGCCACTTCAAAGACCTAAGCCACACCCCTTTGTGAACACAGCGTCTCATGCGGGGTCAATCAGAGGGCACGCACGAGAAAAACAAGCTCTCTATAACAAATGCCACTTCACTTCATTTAGATTCTGCAACTGAAGTTGGATGATGTCCTTGCAAGATCTGAAGAGACCGATTTATTTCAGTGCTCAAGTTTGACTGAGCTCAATCCCATAAATGAAGCATCAGGTACTCTCTATTTATTTAAGGCTAATAATTTAACCAGTAGTATCAATGTTTCTATCTGCTTTTATTGCAATTGAAAAAAAAAGGTTTTTCTTTTTAGTTTCTGGTAAATTACAATTAATTTATTATAAATAAATTTGTAATGCTCAGTTTGTGGGTGTTAAATAATGTTTAGCTTTTTTAAGTGAGCAATAAAATTTAGCAACAGCTGTATCAGCATGTGTTTCCTTTTAGCTCTGGAGTGTCTTCATCAGCGATTCACCAAAGACATTTTTTACACATCTGCTGGGACCACCATTGTTGCTGTCAATCCATTCAAAGATGTCCCAGAATTGTACAACATCCAAAAGATACGGGATTACCATATTTCCGAAGAGGTAAGATGCTTTGATGTAGCCTCAGCATTTTTAAACTAAGCTTATGGTTAACATACCATGAAATTTTCAAGCCATTTTCTATGGGATGGGATTTCCTCAAACTTCTTGTAAACATCTGTTGCATTTTTCTGAAACAGCTCAAAATTTTATTATATATTGCATCCTTCCGTCTTCGCCAGACTGTGGAGTAGAGTAGCTATGTACACTTCAACAAATGGCTCGCTAGGCCTAGCCTGGAATGGCAATCTTGGCTGCATTTCTTGCAGGAAAATCTTGACTCCTGGTTAGATTTGGCCTCCCATATTGCTCTTTTTTTTTTTTTTTGCACGAGGTTAGTTTCGCACATCTTCTGCCTTTTTTCTCCGTCATACACTGCTGTTCGCCAGCTGGAACCTTCCAGCGAATATCTCCCATATGTTGGCTGCATTTCTTGCAGGAAAATCTTGACTCCTGGTTAGATTTGGCCTCCCATATTGCTCTTTTTTTTTTTTTTTTGCACGAGGTTAGTTTCGCACATCTTCTGCCTTTTTTACTCCGTCATACACTGCTGTTCGCCAGCTGGAACCTTCCAGCAAATATCTCCCATATGTTGATTTCTATGTTGGCTTCCCTCCTGCTCCTTTTGCAAACGTCCATACATCGCAGCTTTGGCTGTCCAATAAGTCTTGTACCTTCTGCCAACTCTCGATACAGCAGCTTCTTTGGAATACGGCCTTCCTCCATTCTCCTTACAGGACCTAACCAGCGAAGGCGCCTCTTGCTAAGAGCGGAGAATATGCTAAACATTTTTGCACGTTCCAAGACCTCTGTCTTAGGCACCTTGTCATGCCATCGAATGCATAAAATGTGACACAGACAATTTTGTCGGAAGCTGTTGATTTAAATTTTTCTAAAATAGCTCCAAATTTTAATACAAGAACCAAATTCTGTTGCTAAAGGCTATCATTATTCCAGACTTACTTTCCATCCTTGTTTGAAAAAATATGTTTATCATCTATTTACTAAAAGGGAAACAACTGAAAGGATTTACGGTAACTCATGTATGACTTCCTGCTTTTGAAAGACTTTTTTTTTTATTCCTAGGTGCTGGATCCTCACATCTATGTTATTGCTGAGAAAGCCTACAAACACATGGTTAGGGAGTTGGGCAAAGTCCACCAGAGCATCGTTGTCAGTGGGGAGAGTGGTGCAGGAAAGGTAAATGTGATGATAGTTTAGAGAGTGGTGCTGGACATGTGATGTCAGTTTAGAGAGTGGTGCTGGACATGTGATGCCCGTTTAGAGAGTGGTGCTGGACATGTGATGTCAGTTTAGAGAGTGGTGCTGGACATGTGAATGTGATGTCAATTTAGAGAGTGGTGCTGGCCATGTGAATGTGATGTCAGTTTAGAGAGTGGTGCTGGCCATGTGAATGTGATGTCAGTTTAGAGAGTGGTGCTGGACATGTGAATGTGATGTCAGTGTAGAGAGTGGCGCTGGACATGTGAATGTGATGTCAGTGTAGAGAGTGGTGCAGTAAAGGTTAATGTGATGCCAATTGAGATGATGGTATTGTGAATGTGATGATTTTTATTTGCGTAATGAAGTTGAACTGGGGAATGTAATATCAATTTAGAGATTGATTCTTGACAAGTGAAGGTAATGTTTGATGTACTGAATCTAAAGTCTTAAATGCATTCAGTTTTGTTAATTGTATCTTCATTTACTGTTTTTATTTCAGACTGTTTCTGCCAAATATTTGCTACGATATCTCACCATTGTGTCTAGCCCAGAGATGGAAATAGAGTATGTTAATCTAATTCGTTTACCAAAGTAAAGTTACTTTTGAAACATTCTGAGAGCTTTTTATGCTATTCACAATCCATCAATTTGTCATCTGTACATTTTCAGGTGCTTATTTTTTATTTGTCTGATTCTTTAAAAATTTCAATTCATTTTTGTTGGAGGGCATGACAATTTTTTTAGGGCAATTAATAAGTAATGTTACACAGCTTAGTAGTTACAATGAAATTTAATAAGACTTGTGGACAGAAAACTTATTACAGCTAGTGGCAAACCAGTGCTACTTACTCAAAAGCCATTTTACTTTTAAAATACCATTGTTGAAACTTTTACCATATAAAACCTTAACGTTTTTCAACAGTTTAGAATGCTCTATACCAGGGAGTGTTATAGAACGTCAAGTGCTAGACTCCAATCCTATTCTAGAAGCTTTTGGTATGTATTACTGTGATTTGACGGTATTCAAGGATGAACAAAAAACAACATTTTCACAATCGGATGGAAATGAAGAAAAAAAATTTAAATGATGTTACAGTAAAAAGTAAAAGTCTTTTCATTGAGTCCTGAAGTTCGTGAGACCTTTCATTCCACAAAGTCCCTCCTGTTTTTCTATGCTAGCATGTGTTGTTCGTGGTCATCTTGTCGTCATCATTTGAAACTAATCTGTAAACAATATTTTGTTCAATTTCTGAAATTTAAAAAACCATACCCTACCCCAGCTGATATTTTATAATTATTTTAATTTTTCGTTCTCATAATAAAATTGATAGAGCTTTGACCATATTCCATTTAGAAACACTATTCCCTCATCAAATGTATTTTTAAATGCAAGCAGTTTATCTTGCAAGCCAGGAAAATATATTTCTTTTCACAGGAAATGCAGCTACCCCAAGAAATGAGAACAGCTCCAGGTTTGGAAAATTTATACAGCTTCAGTTTCACAGGTAAATTGTTTATTTTTAATGCGTACTATTGTTATTTTTATGTAGACTTGAGCTAATTTTTTTAGAAATGAACCTGTTTTTTTTCCCCAAGAAATAATTGGTGAATGTATGTTTGTGTGTGTGAGTGAGTGAGAGTGATTTCTACCAACATAACTTATTCTAAAAGTAACAAGTGGAATACAAGTTATGTTAATAATAATTTCTTATTTTATAAAGTTACTTAGATTGCATTTTGAATTTTGTGTTTGATTTCAGTACCTGTACCATTTGCCATGTTAAAACTTCAAGTTAACATCAAAATTCAGTTCAAAATATTTTTTTCAGAAATGGGTACATTCTTGGAGGTGTCATACAAACATATTTATTGGAAAAGACTCGCGTTGTTCATCAAGGCTTGGCGGAGAATAATTTCCACATTTTTTACCAGGTTTAAACTAATTTTTAAAAAGTTATTTAAACGGATGTGAAGAAAATATGTATTACATTTTTTTTAAAGGATTTATTTTTTTTGAGTTGTGCAAATTAATGAATACATTTTTTTTAAAGTGCAGGATTTTCTTAAGGATTTTTAAATTATTTTTCTTTTAATGAAACTTTAAGTAGGGCGCTAAAAGTAAATACAAAATTATTCAGTTGTTTTATTGATTTAACTATTTCAAATAAGTATGCTATCCTCCTGCTCTTGCCTACAAGTACCAAGAAATGTTTTTAATATACTTGACATCAAGCATTTCAAACATGAGCATGATATAAAATTATTTTAAATATTTTCTTATCTAACAAAATGCCACATTTTTTTTCAGCTGTTGAGTCTTGGAGAAATGTCAATAATACCACTGTGGCTGGAAGAGGTGAAATCTGAAGTGCTCAGATCAAAATTGGAATGTAGAGTACCTCAACAAGGTAATCATTGAAGCACTAGACTTATGGGTCATTGGGGTTGTGGAGATGTGAAGGATCACTATACAAAACATAATAACGCAAGTCTTAAATAATTCCGAAATGTGGGTATCATTGAAACTATGTTTGTGTGTGGGGCAGGTGTTAAATTCTTATTGATTACTGTCTACCTAATTTTTGAGTCTTCCTCCTCACCTTGGCAGGTTTACCTCATTTTGACTGGTATTGGTAATTAATTTGTTAAAATTCACTATTCGGATTTGAAGCTAATACTACCTAAATTCTGAATTTTATTTTACAATGGCTATAATTGATCAATTATAACATCCCAAAACAAGTAAGATATTTAGTTTATTCTTTTTAACATTAAAACCTCTTAAATTTTATTTGATCATATCCTTTTTTTTATATTTTAGCTGAAACCTTATCAGTTCTTCAAACAGTGGAAGCTATGACTGATATTGGTGTGCCACCTACCAGTCAAGTCTCTATATTTAAGGTCTTTAAATAATCATCCTTTTTTTTTTTTTTTTAATATTTTTTTTATTTGGGAATTTTTCCAAATTTTTCCACTTCTTTTTTTATTTTTAAACATTTTTTTAGATGAAACCTTATCAGTTCTTCAAACAGTGGAAGCTATGACTGATATTGGTGTGCCACCTACCAGTCAAGTCTCTATATTTAAGGTCTTTAAATAATCATCCTTTTTTTTTTTTTAAATAATTGTTTTATCTGGGAAATCTTCCAAAATCTTCCAAGTGCTTTGTTAAGTTGAAACACTTGTTTAGACATAACTCTGGGCCAGATATATGCATTAGTTTAAATGACAGACACCACAGAAATAGGTCTTTATAATCTTTGCTCTTTGGAGCTAATATTTAATAACTTTTAAAGGCCTTATCTTACTGCCAAATAAACCCAGTTTGCTTAGTTACTTCAAAGCCTGTTTTAAATGTCCATTTTTATCTTCTAAGCATAATATAATTTAAGAAAGGCTCAATTTTAAAAAAAAATATAATTCTGCAAAATGTTTTCCTGCCATATGTACCTAATTAAACTTATACATAATATATACATAATTTATACATATAGATATATATATATATGTGTATATTTCTCAGATTTTGTTAGCAGTATTACAGTTATCTTCACTCAGGATCATATCAGCCAAAGATGGAGAAGCCAGCTCGATTTCTGACGATGAAGGTAAATAATAATGAAGAGGTAACTTTTGTATTGCTTAACATCTGGAGAGATTTGTTGGCCGCAAGGCTGCAGAGCTAGGAAAATTTAATCCAATATCTTTGCCCATAGGACCGGGTTTCTGGGTCAGTGACTAACATTTTCAAACTGAGGTTGTTAATAGTTGTAGATGAAAACTTTTTTTTTTTAAATTGGGGGATAGTCTATAACTTAAATGTTAAATATTTGTTTTAAGTGATAGCTCTTTAGTATCGATACAGATGTTTGTTAAATTGTGTTTGCATAACTTCCCAATTTTTACATTGATCATGCTCCTAATTTTGCTGAATATTATTTTTAAAATTCCAGCTGTATGACTTTATTGAGCTTTATGCTGTTAACATATATTTTAATATATTTATTTGTTTGAAGAAAAAAACGTGTTCATCCTACCAGCATTCAACAAAGCAAAAATTGGTATTTTTAAAAATAAAATATTTCTGTTCATAATTTGTAATTTTTTTAAAAAAGATTTATTTGTTTTTTGTTGGTTTCCCTTTTAAAAAATGTGTACTTTTGAAATGGTTATTAAGCGACAAAACAAACAACAAAAAATGAATGTTTACTTTCTATAGGCACACACAGTAGGTTCATTTTTAATGTCATTTCAGCTCAACGGGGTTCTTATTTAACTATAAATCTTATTTAGGACCATTTCCTTGATTTTTTATTTTTTAACGGATAATAAACTCATGAATGACATCACAAATTTTAATTTTGAAAATCTATTCGCAGAATAGTGACCTATTTTGCAGTCCCCTTTAAAAAAATAATGGGACACTTTGTGTTGTTGAAGTTAAAAAATGAAAAGGGATTTTAAAAAAATTATTTATTTTAGCTCCAACTTTTTTTTTTACGGTACCATAATTTAATGTCTTTCTCATAAATTTCTCTAAGAAAATTAAATTACTCTTAGTAATTTTGGTATTGTCTTGTTTATTCTCTTTAAATGTTTATTTTAAAGGGCTGTTGATGTTTTTGAATGTTTAGTTGCTAGAATTTTAGTTTGTATGTTCCAGCATCAACATGGGCAAAAGATGTATCTGCTCGTTTGCTTGGGATCTCTTCCCAGAGTCTGCATGATGCTTTGTTGAATCGCAATATTGTCAGCGGAGCCAAGTCCCACCAAACTGTTTTCATCAAGCCAGTCACAGTGGCAGAAGCTCAAAGTCGCAGAGACACCTTAGCAATGTTGCTGTATTCCAGGTTCAGATAAGAAATATAAGCTTTTCTGTGATTTAAGTTTTAGAGTACAAAAATTAAGATTCTTCATTGGAGCATAACATTTTCATATGCTACTTTTTAAGCATAATATTAACATACATTGAAGTATTTAGGCCTCTGTGTTTTTCAGTGATTATCAAAGTTATCCCTGTTCTTCTTCTATATCTTAAGGGCCCACGATCAATTTATTGATCATTTTGGCTCCTATGCATGTAGATGGGATTTGCAATGTTTCTGTTACTGGTGTTGATGAGGAAATCATGCACTAGGGGTTTGAAGGCTTGAGGCAATAGACACAAATGTGTCTAGTGTTGTCGCCTCAACCGTTCCTTTTGAAAGATTGTTCCAGTCCCTGATTGTCTTGGGCAGGAATGAGCAGCTCCTATACTGGCTTCTTGCTGGTATGAGCCTGAATTGCCTGTCATGGCCTCGTCGCTGTCTATGGGGGAGAGGGACGAGTTTCTGTTTAATACTGGAACAGTGGACCAGCCCATTATTTATCTTGTACATCATGGAGAGCCTGGATTGTCGTCGTCGTTTCTCCAATGGTGACCAGCCTAGTGTTTCTAGCATGCTGCCAACACTAGAGGTATTCCTGTAGCGGTTTAGGACAAAGCGTGCTGCTCGTTGCTGGACCGCCTCCAACCTGTCAATGCTCTTCTGGGTAAATGGGTCCCAGACTGAAGATGCATAATCTAATACCGGACAGATAAAGGCTTTATATGCTCTTTCTTTCACACAGGAGTTGCCAATCTTTAGATTTCGCCTTAAGAACCCTAGGGTCTTGTTTGCTTGGTTACATACATTGTTAATATGCTCGTCCCACCGGACCTCTCTTTGAATGGTAACACCCAGGTACTTTACGGATATCCTTAAATCTTTAGCTTAAACCTTAGCTTTTGGGTTACATTGATGAATGCAATCAACTTAAAAAGCGGATTAACCTCAAATATGTTTCTCTATATTGCAGAGTTTTTGATTGGTTGGTGACTTTTATCAATAAACAAATCAAGGCCCCATATTTTGACTCAAGCATAAGTAAGTTTTTTTTTCCATTCAAAATATTTTCCAAGTCTTTGATTGTGTCACATTACAATTTTTTTTAAAAAGTTATCTTTTATTAAATGCATTTTTGAAATTTAAAAAATGGCATTTTTATTTAATTCTATAAATTTATTTTGTTTTTAAAATTATGTGACAATTTTTTTTTTGTGCATATGATTTTTTTGTTGATGATTTTTTTAAAAGAATAAATTTTATAAATAGCCACAATTTACTTTCTGGGTTTGTTTGAAATATCCATATAGATTGCTGTCTCCTGATTATTATCTTCACAATAGTCATGTAAAGCACCTCGTGGGCCATATATCAATAATCTCAAACCATTTTGCTCTGAATTACCACCTTCTCAATGTCTCTCCATGCCATTCCCACCACCTCAGACTCTTTATTTAACAAGGTTCGCACAGTCTTTGAAGGTTTGGGGAGAATGTTTTTAAAATTCCATGGCCCTGAAAGTTTGGGAAAATTGACAAAAAAAATTATCATCTTTGAAAGTTTGAGAGAATTCCTTTTTCAAAATTTGTAAAGAAAAAAAAGAAAGGACGTTTCCTTTTAAATGACAGGGCAGTTTTCAATTCTTATTATCCTTAACCCTGCAAGAAATAAATATGTTGATTGGTCAGTAGATTACTTTAAGCCAATGAAATTAATCTTAACAAGTTAATGAAGAAATAACAACAAATATAAAGTATAGAAAAAACAATAACATTAATGGGGAACACTTAAGTTTTTGAACTACTTGCTATTTCTTGCTGTCACTTCATTTGCCCTGTCTGCTGAGGAGGTCTCTTAGCCGAAGTATTCTCCTTTTATTGTCCTGTCTTTTTATTTCAAGCTTCCACATACCTTGTTCCATTATTCTCTTCACACAGCTTGAACGCAGTCCTTCATTTATTGACAGTTGATGGGGGGGTTGACCCCAAATGAACACATGAAAACTTTTTGTGACTTTTCATTTTTTTTTCCATTAAATGGCGTCCCTTTCTTCTCTAGATCTGTTGGACATCTATGGGTTTGAAACCTTTGATGTGAATAATTTGGAGCAGCTTTGCATCAACTATGCCAATGAAAGGCTTCAGCAGCACTACGTCACTCATTTCTTACGGGATCTCCAGGTGCAGTAACTGATACAGTAATCTTACTTGCTCAAAATATATTGATATCATTCAGGGAGAAAAAGAAATAAAACTCATGAAATTGAAACATGAAGAGCTCCTGGGAGGTTAATTGAATTTACAACTTGTAAAAATAGTTTCTAGATCATTCAAGTGTTTTATTTCATTTTAAGAGACACTTTCAACATCCTTTTTCTTTGAATGTTTAGTAGTCACAAAGGGGTTTCATGGGTCAATTGCAGTTTTTTTAAGGATTTTTTTACCTTTAAAGTGTGATGACCATACATTTTCAACAATGATTTCCCCCCCCCCCCCCCCCCCCCCCCGATATGTCGCTGGGATCTTAGACAGAATATGAGGCTGAACACATATCCTGGACACCAGTGGTCTACAAGGACAACAAAATCTGTGTGGAGACTTTAGATGGTCCAAATGGTGTGTTTGGTTTGCTGAATGAAGTAAGAAACATTTAAACCATTGAAAAGTTGTCTTTTTTTTTTTTTTCCGGTATCTTGATGCTTTTATTGACTTATCTAGTTCATTCAATTAAGGAAACTTTAATGTTAAATTTTATCATGAACAATTGCGCTTTGTTTACAAATTGAGTAAAACGATACTGTAATGTTGTGTGTTAATTTCTAGGAGGTTGCTTTGAACCGTAAATCTGATGACAGCTGTCTCTGTGGTCGTATTGTTGATGCCTGTAAGACTAGTGGTATTGTCAGGAAGCCCCATGCAGGAACATATGAGACAAAGTTCTATGTGCGTCACTATGCCGGTGATGTCCTCTACACAGTACAGGATGCTGTTACTAAAAATAAGGTCAGCTGCCCCTTTTACATTCTGTGTTCAAGTTGTGGAACAACTGTGAAGTCATTTTGATTAAAATAAAAAGTTGGAAGCTATTTTCTAAAACAAATATAAAAGCAAGGAGAGAAAAATTAGCATTTTAATGAATTTAACTAATAAGATAGTGAGTTGTTTTTTTTTATGATTTAATTTTTAACTGTTCACTATCACAACAATATTAATAAACTATTGGTTATTGATAAATTAATTTGTTTCCCTCAGGATAATATACCATTAGAATTGATATCTCTCATGGCTCATAGCAGTGACAATTTTATATTAAATCTCTTCAATGACACGGAATATGCACACACTGAGCAATCTCTTACACCAACCAAAACAAAGAAGAAAATCTCTGTCCTCACCAAGTTCAAGGTACATTTTAAGATGTTTATTAAGTTACCTTTACATTTAGTCATGGCTGGTATTATCTAATCAAAGACACATCTCATATACCTAAATTGCTGCAATTAGAAAATCTTTTTTAAAAAAAAAATTCATTAAATATTATTGCTGGTACATCAGTGAGCTCATACGACTTGTTTTCATAAAGCCCATGGCATCTCAGAAATATTGATAAAACTATTGGCATGCTTTATTCCCAAATATTATCTGTGCCAGTGTTCTGCAGCTATTTATATGTTTGTTTTTTTTTTTTTATATATATTCTCAATTATTTTTTTTCTTTATCTGGTAGTTAACAAAGCTAAGAATTACATTTTAATGTGGCATACATATCTGTGGTATATTTTTTCTAAGAGTTCTCTAGACAGCCTCATGTCTAGTTTAGAAAGATCTGATGTCCACTTCATTCGTTGTATCAAACCCAACAATTTCAACAAGCCAGCATATTTTGATAGAGTGTATGCTCTCCAACAACTTAGAGCTTGTGGAACCATTGAGACAGTGGATATATGTCGATTGGGCTATCCTGCTAGGTATTTGACACATATATTTTTTTCTCTCCAGATCCTAATGCTTTTGTGGTAGGACTACCATAAATGTATCAAGCATTTTCGAGACTGTACTTACTCTTATATTAGTCAAAAATTATTTTTTTATTGCAAAATCGTTTTAGAATATAATTTTTTTAAAACATAATGATTAAAAAGTAAGTTGATGTCTGGATACAAATAACTCAACGATATTATTTGTTTTCTGTGTTCATCGTGGAACATGTTCTCTTTGTTTTGACAATTAAAATATAATCATTTAAATTAACCTTTATACATGTTAAAGTTACTGAATTCCTTGTTAATATCTTGTATCTCTGCACACAAAAAAATAATTTATTTCCATATTTGTGTCATTTCTCTCCCTCCTCTCTCTATCTCCTCAATCACAACTGGCATAAACCCTGTAAGTTATGATTGATGTGTAATTAAGTGTGCAGTCTGAGTACTTACATTTTATTTTCACACTGTTTCAACCTTACAATGTCCACTTCTCTTTTTGACAGGATGACATATCAAGATTTTGTGCAACGCTATGGATTGTTTATGAAACTCAATGGCTCGAGGGTACTATCCGGTTTGCTTAAGGACCAGCCTCTGTGTGATGATGAGGACAAAGAGAATGGAGAGTCTTTTTGTGAGAAAATAGAATCCCAGATGGCCAGTCATGACAGACACACTCATTCCATCAAATACAAAAAGTTTAGAAGAAAATCAGGTGAGACTTCCCTTACATGATGATGGGAAAATGAATTGTGATTAGTGACAGTCCATAACTTAAACTAATTTAATTAAGTTAATAAAGCTTGTAATTATTGCTTATTGCTGGTGTAAAATGGTTTTAAAAATCAACAGAAAAAAAATAATCGATATTACATGGTTAGCAAGCACTAACTTCTAGTTCAATCTGTATTTTTTTTTTTTTTTAAATATGCACATGGATATATATACATGTGGTGGATAATTTTAAAATCATTAGTGTAAAGATCTACCAACCTATTTGTGTTGTTGCTTATTTACAGACATAGATCGTCCATGTAGGAGGTGTGCTTGTATCCTCATGAAAGTTTTTTCAACAGAGGAATTACATAACTGCCATTTGCAGTTTGGGATGTTTAAAATCTTTCTCACGCAGAAACAGGTAAGACAGGAACCATGAACTAATTAATTTGAATATTTTTTTTTTCTCCTTTCAGACTAACATGGGAGACAAAAATTTTGATTAGGCTGTTATGTAAATATTGTGCTCAGAGTATCTTAGAGAGTGTAACATTGGTTTGCAATTTTTAATTAACTCTCTTTAAAAGAATTGCAAGGCTAAAATTTTGTTTGTACAGAGAATTTTAGGCACACTTAATTTATCATAATATATTTTTTTTATGTTTAGTGGGAAAGGAGAAACAGTTTTTTTTAATATGGTATGGGATAATTTCTAACAAAATGCACTTGATGTCAGTTATGCTTTTAAAGATCTTACTTTTTTTCCCACAACAAAAACACTTTATTGCGTAATTAAAACTTAGCATGGCCATCCTAGGAATAAAATTTACTCTAAATATTTAAATTTAATATTTACGATGCTGGTTGTACTTTGGAGAACAGTCTCTTTCACTTAAGGGGCAGCGCACATATTATATAACACAAAAATATGACATTTTTTACCTACCCCTTATAAAGCTAGAGAACATTTCAATTGACCACCACCCGCTTTTATAGAAATATAATATTTCTAGCAAAACTACTCCCACACACAGCCACACGCAATTTTTCCATGAACCAATCAATAAATTGGCTTTTTATTGTAAGCTAAAAACACATTTATTTTTGAATAATCTAGGCTAATTTTGTAAAGCAGAAATTTTGAAAAAAGAATTAATAAAAATAGAAAAGGAATTGTTTTATAACATCCACCCCATATAACACAATATAACTAAAGAATAAACTACCCCCTTTATGCTATATATGTGCATGTTCCCTAAACATATTTGACATATTTTTTTGTTTACTATTTTACTGCTAGATTTTGTTTTCAATTTATTTCTTGGTGTTTGACAATTAGACAGACCGCTTGGAACACACACGTGCCATTATCATCGGCAAACTGGTGTCTGAATCTCAGGCTGCATGGCGAGGCTTTGTTGGGAGACGACACTTCTCACAGATGAAGGCAGCCGCTTTGAAAATCCAAGCAAGATGGAGGACAATCACTGAGATGAGGAGACTAAACGCAATTAGATGTGGTGCATGCAGGATTCAGAAATGCTGGAGGGTTTATAAATTGCTGTGTAGAATGAAACAAGTTGCATCATCAGCAAGGATAATCAAAAGAAGTGAGTTTATACACTTTATTATTTTATTATAAGAAACTTCTGTCTTGATCTTGAAAGTTAGTAATTTTCATTGAAAGCAGTAGACCAAGTCCAACCCAACTTAAGCACTTTGTTTTCCCAAGAAAGCTGTTTTTCCGAGTATGAATGTCTTTTGTTTCATTTACTTAGTATAGTGTTTTTGGTCTGAGGCACTGAACTAGTGTTTTGGTTAAGATGGCCAAATTCATGGATTTTTATACACTGGTTAAATATGTGTGCCAGATATGAATGGATATGAAAGTCTTTTGATTAGTTATTTTATTTCTAGTGAGAATATTAAAACACAAAAAACAAATGGATAGGTATTTATTATCTAAACATTTTGGTGTGGTGAAAACCAACATTTTTTCCAATGTACATCTCACTTAAAGGCAATTTTGTGTGCACAGTTTTTCTATCTCTCTTAAACTAACCAGATGGTTTAAGGATCATACAACTAATGACTAATATTGGGTTTATTACTCAGATGTTTTGCTCTAAATTGATATTGCTAAAATGTAATGACAAATTATAGCAGGCCTGCACAACATACGGCCCGCGGGCCGCCAGCACCCACTTTGCGGCCCGCGAAGTAACGAAATATTACTTATTCTTATTATTTTCTTAATAGCCTTCCCCCTTTTTTTTCCTTTTACTTTTGGCCCGCAGATGTCCTGTCCTATTTTCTTTTGGCCCGCACAAGTTTTTCATAAAGTATTACGGTCCACCTTACATTTTGAGTTGTGCAGGCTGTTCTATAGGGATTAAATAATTTAATTCAGACATATCTAAGCTAAGACTTTATAGATAAAAAAACATATCACTTTTTATGATGTGTTTTGCTTTCATATTTACTGGTAAACAAAAATACTTAAGAGCTGTCATATGGATTTATAAAAAAGATTAACATTCTTAATATCAATTTAATAATTGAAAATTGTTTGTTTCAGCTTTAACTAAATGGATAAGAAGACAAAAATTCAGAAAAGCCTTACATGATCTAAAAAGGCAAAGACGGGAGCAAAATCTTGACAAAAGTCTCTATGTGGAGGATGTATCTCAAAGCTGTTTCCCAGATCTGTGGTCAGACTCGGCCCCCTGTGACGTCCAGGTATGACCAGTGATGATTTTATTTATATTAAGTACCGGGTACCTGTTCACATTTAACACTGTTTTTCTTCCATTTGGTATAATTTTACTTGTTTAAAACAATATTTCAACTTTTCATTATGAAAATTATTTTATTTTCCACTTTTAAAATGTTCAATTATTCAACTCCAGCATTTTCAAACAATTGTGATTACTTTTAAATTTTCTTGTGGACATATTTAGAGATAGGACTTATTATGAAACATTAATCCAGGCTATGATGGTTGTGCTCCCTGTAAATTGAAATTTGCTTTAAATAACAAAACTTTTCTTATTTCATTTTTTAATAGTTTTTCCATGAACAGATCAATAACTTTGAAGAGGCACTGGTAACAACAGAAGGTGATATGACAGACAACAAGCTCATTGGGGACCTGGATGACACTCTCAGCATTTGCTCGGATGATTCAGGTGTGATGATCAAAGATGATCTTCAGTCATTGACGGGGGATGTGACAGAGACTCCTCCAATGAAAAAACAGAAGCTGGCAGCAAGAAGAGATCTGAATATTGGGGATGGTATAATCACCTGTCGGCGGCTCACAAAAGTAAGTTGGAAAATGCTATTTGTTACTCCGATCTTGAATGGTGTAATGGATCTATTTCTACTGTAGTGGCAAAATGTAATCTTGCTGGCCCTTGGTAGTATTAATGGCAAAGTTTAATAAATCCTACTCCAAAATTACTAAAAGGGCTGTTTAAGAGTGCTCACTTAAATACCCTGAAGTATGAATTGATTTTGATTTTCACAAATGTATTTGAAAATTGTGTTACTGATGAAAGTGGTTGGCGGCTTCAAATGTGTTTAATTAGTCAACACCTGACAAGATCATCTTTTAAAAAAATGAAGAAAATAAATTACATATCTTGAAACATGAGTAGTGAAAACCAAGTTTAGCAGAAACTGGGAATTGATAAAGCAAACAAAAAAAAATCTATGATGATAATTCAAAACCCTGCCATAATCAAAGGGTTAATTAATGTCTTTGTAAATCATCATAAACACAGTTTGGGAATCTGTGACATTAAGTTGTATTTTTATTTCTACAGCCTGGGTTACGTTTTCATGTTCGAAAGAGTATTCTCAAATATGGTCACCGAGTCCACCATTCAGAACTGGTTCACGGCATGGCTGACGCCTTAGAACAAGATCTCACAGATGTTCAGTGTCCATGTAATGGTTACCCAAAACAGCATGAGCACTTGCAGTAGCAATTCATTGAGGATAGGAAGAATTTTAAAAAAAACATATCTTTATTATTTAACTACAATTGTGCTTTCAAGCTTTACAAAGCTAATGTAAATGAACTATACACTATACCTGTGAATTTAAGCTGTGACAATGATTTTTTTTTTCAATTTAAATATTTTATGTGGGGTACTGAACCTCATTTTAGTTTCTATAACAAGTTTACTCAAGGAGGTAGTGTGGTATTTTTCAAGTTTGCATAACTCTTCCTAGTAGGTTGTCATGTGAATATAAAAATCTCATAAATGGATTACCAATTTCATGAAGAGTTGTGAAGTATTGGAAGAAATGTGATAATAAAAAGAATGTGTAGTTGAAAAGCATGTACCCTGAAAATGTGATTTTGCTTCAATTAAAATATAAATATTATATTTGCTCATTGTAACATCATTCCCTTTTATTTCTAACTAACCACTTGTTCTAGATCAGAGAATGGAAACTTTTCTTTGGTCAGGCTTGTCCTCTCAGCTCTGCCTAGGAGATCATGACCAATTATTGTCTAGGTTTCAAGTAGGGATTCCAAGGCTAAATCATGGCTTCTAATTATCAGGCCCTAGAGATTTTTTTTATCTAGGTTGTCCCCCTTGCCTTTACTTTTGGGATTCTAATTCAATCATATTGATTGTCATCTATTGCAATGCAAATTGTGCCAGTTTTTTTAAGGAATATAAAAAAAAACAGATGGGCTTGGTACTGGAATCCATAACTGACCAGTTCCACATGATTTCAATCTCTGATGTGGAATTTCATTCCAAGAGTTTTTTTACTTAATTAATATAATTATCACAAGGGGTGAGATAACATAGTAGCAGATTTTGAAGTTTAATCTCAGTCCTCCCACAGGTCAACACTTTTCTCTGTTAGGGTTTCCTCCCTTAGCCCTATGTCAATCTTGACTTTTAGTCTGTTTATCACATGAAAAGTGGTGGAGGAAAAGAAGTAAGTTCACTAGTTGCCATTGTCTATGATTTCAACTGCTGTAAGAGGACTGTCAGACAGTTTATTCATTTTGGTTTTATAGAAAACTGTGCCTTAAAATAAAGTATTGCTCCAAGCCCTTTTTTTTTTTGTTACCTCACTGCCTTTAACTTAAAACAAAGCTTCTTTGTTTTAAAAGTTCAAAAAAAAACCCAACAAACTTTTACTATAGCCAAGTTGTTTATTAGTGGTTCCCATCATTGTGCTGAGGCCACATCCCCCAACTGTCTTAAGCTAAAGAGGTGCTATTTAATAATTAACACAACATGCCCAACTTGTTTTATACAAGAAGTTACCATGAGAAAATTGTGATTTTTAAAAAATAAAAAGAAATTCTAAGTACTGCTACAACCAGTACCTAACAATTTCTTCAAAGTTGTTTTTAAAGAAAAAATATTAAATTGTGAAGATATTTTTTATTTTTAATGGAATTTTAAATATTGTGTAATTATTTAAAAATAATACTAGTTATACATTATAGTTGTATGTTACTTGCAAGATGAATTTACTTATTAGTATGACATATCTCAATACTTAGATTTGTATATTTGGAAGATCACAGCAATTGACTCATTTGTAATACAATTAAATTGTCTTATGTCTAATGTCTTAAATGTATCAGTTGGTTTTTTTTTTAATTTAATGACTATTTGTGCCACATAATTCATCTAATGTTTTCATCTATGTAATGGCTCCCAGTAAGCCAAGGGCTGCATAGCTTATTATGTTGATGATTCACTGATGTATTTTTCTAGACCCAACATGCAACAAGCCTACTTTTGTTAGTACTCTGCTATCACAATAAATTCAAAACTTAATCACTCGGCTGACCTACTTAAAGAATGCATCTTCAAATGGACCATTGCTCAGCATACATTTTTTGTTCCAATTGAAGCAACATTAATCAAATGTAAGTCTGTGTTAGATCTTGGCATATTTCAGGGTAGGGGGTTTGGCTAATATACTAATGGCTATTTTACCATTGCTGAAGCATACACTTATACCCGGAGCAATTAATGCTCCACATTAATGAAGCTGTCATTGGCTCCGCTCATTTAGGGCGCTAGAAGCTGTCATTGACTCCACTCATTTGGTGCGCTGGAAACTCAGACCTACAAGATGGAGCACTATACCAACCGGATGGTGCACTCACACAAACTGGGTGCTTGCTTTTCACTTATAGTTTGATTTGACGTTGTCCGCTCATAAACTGCAACACTAACCCTTATACCGGCACCGGGTAGGTGGGGGGGGGGGTGTACGATAAACCTAAATCTCATTGTACATTGATGATTCGGCCTTGCAAGGTTACTTTATACTTTATGTATAATGCTCTAAAAAGTCACTTTATGCAAGAAATCAAAAAGCGGTAAAAACATGTATCCTATGTGCCAAAAAAAAAACAACTAGGTTCATGAGTGTAGCGGTGCAGATAGAATTGTTTGGTGAGTCTTGATTATGTTACCGGCGCGGCTATCACGTAAAGGTGTGGGGGCAGTTGTGGTAAAATAACTACAGCACTGGAACAGTAAAGTAATTTAGAGTTTTTTTACACTTGACCACCCCACCCCACCAGGGTTGCGGATGTCCGCATACTGCGAAATTCCAGGAAGTATAAATTATTGGATGAAAATAATGGATTTCAGAGTTAGGAAGGGGGGGGGGTGTAAAAAAAGAATCTTGTTCCCTGGCACCAAACACTCACGCCAGTAACGTAAACAGTGGGGGGGGGGGCAAATAGTTGATCTGCCCAGTGGTCAATAGTCCAAGGTAGACACATTCCATTACATGGACTACCATCCAACTTAAGACAACCTTCAATTAAATGAGATACCATCCAAAGTAGACACCTTCCATCTCCCCAAAGAGGCATAATTAAAGTAGGCCTATCGCTAGGGTTCGAACTCCAGCCCCACAAAGTGCCCATGCACTTAAGATGGCACTGCTTTTCTCCAACAATTTTACTAATGAGTACGGAGTAGTGGCGCAGCTAGTGTAATTACAGCCCGGGGCTAACATATTAGTCTAACAAGATTGTAAACACAAAGTCTTACTATATTTCTTTTTTTTTCGATTTATGTCTTGGGAGAAGTAAAACGTGTTGAAAAGAGTTATTACCCTTTAAGAAGTATCTTAACTTGTGATTCGAATTTATAATTATTATTCGAAACAATATATACAATATTAATTTTGGAATGTGCAGATAATATCGTGAGTGAAAATAGGGAAACTTTTAAATCAAATTAAATTGCCAAAATATTTCAAAATTCATTAACAATATGTAAAGCATGAGAGTGAGTCTACTAGAAGCGTGACGCCTCATTGAATCGTGAGGCCTTGGGCATCACTGGTAGACATGTCTTAAGTTTCTCACCCATCTTCCTGGTATTTGCATGCTCCTCCGCATGTCTGGTTAAATAATGATGTCTGATGTTGTACTCATTGTGCACTGCAACTTTCTTAGTGCCTATAAGTCACGTCGGAAAAAAGTGCGGGCCGCATTAACACTAAACTTTGCTGTCAGGTATCGGACCGCAAAATATCGTCTTGCAGGCCTCAAATGATCCGCAGACCGTAATTTTGAGACCCCTGATTTATAGGGTTACATAGCTTATTTTTTTTTAGTTGAAACTGGGAGAATTGTCTTACTTCTATTTGTCTTGTTGGCTGAGGAAGGCTCTAAGCCAGGCCTGCGCAACTCAAAATGTAACGCGGGTCGTAATATTTAATGAAAAAACTTGTGCGGGCCAAATGAAAATAGGACAGGGTGAAAAGTTATAAAAAATATTTCGGTACTTCGCGGGCCGCAAAGTGGGTGCTGGCGGGCCGCATGTGTCCCGCGGGCCGTGTGTTGTGCAGGCCTGCTCTAAGCCGAAACTTCCGAATCGTCTGGTCCCGTCTATTAATTCAAACATAGGGGTCATTCCCAAATTACGGCACGCTCAAAGGGGGGGGGGGGGGGGTGGTCGTCGAGCATTTGTGACAGTGGGAGAGGGGTCACACATTTGTGACGTCAAATTTTTTTAATTAATTTTTTTATCTAAAATTGTCTAATTTTGAAAAATCTTTATTCAATTAAGTTTAAAAACATTAATTTGAGGTCGAAATTGCCTCAGGAACTATAAGTAACGTGAACCTCAGCATGACCCACTAGAGTATATAGGTCGTGACCTCAGTCGCTCACACTTTCTGCGCATATCGAAAAATGACGCAAAAACTGTTGTGGCAATCATGTTACATCGGACCCGGTATCAGAAGTGAGAGGTTGGGTTTACTAAAAAAAATTTTAAAATATTGTTGTTGGGTTTGTAAAATAATGTTTGGTATCGAATGAAAGATAATTGAATGGACTATATGTTTGTAAATTTTGAAAATTAGGGGAATGTAAAGTGAGTAACAATAATAACATCGCTGCTTGAACGGATTTGCAAAATCTGTAACATTTATTTTGCATCATAATTCATGTTGAAAAGGCATTTTCAATAGCACCGACAATGCCCTCTTGAACATAAGAAATTAGCACCTGCTCCTCAACAGAAAAGGATTCGACCAATGCAAGTAGCTGCAAGGAGATAGAGAGAGCTTATGGCAATTATTGCTCACACTGACAATGCTTCCCTTTTAAGTGCTGAATGGTTAGATGAGGATGATGTTGACTTGTCTGGTATATCAGTGTCGCAAGATGAAAATGATAAATCAGCTACTATAGAATATGCCAATCAGGGGCGTCATTTCATTTTTTTTTCAGTGGGGGGGGGGGCAAAACTTTGTCGGTTTGTTAAGTTGTTTATTACTGGAGGCGCCACAGAACATAGAAATTTAAATTAAACTTGCAAATTAAGATGGGAGGTGAATGCCCCCTACCCTACCCAAATGAAGTCCCTGATACCCATTGTTACGATAGAGCAAACCTGGCTACTGCTTGGGAAAATGATAGCAGCTAGAAACTGTACTATAATTGACAGCTTTACTGACAATTAAAATATTTATACCACAAACAATAATATTTAGTCTTTAACAACCTTTAAATTGATTCTGCATTGTAAAATTTAAGCGTAAAAACTTTTAACTTGTTGATTAACAAGCTAAAGATGAAATAAAATGTTTTTCCTGCAATTTTGTGTCATTAAAATAGATCATCGCATAGAAAAATGTATTTATAAAATTATTTATAATATAATTCCTTTTTATTTTTTTTTGGGGGGGGGGGGTTGGTTAGAAAATGTTGATATAATTAAATAGGAGTGTCATTGAAAGTTTGACAGTTGTTGACAAGGGGGTGGAGGGGGGCAAAAATTGCTTTAAAATAGTTGACGTAATTAACGGACGACCGCTATGCGCCAAAATGCACCCCTGCATTTTGAATATGTGCGGCTGTCTTCAGCACCCTCAAATTCTAAATTCCTTCCCAAAAGCTGATCAATGTTACAGTATAGGGTTGAATATAAGTTTGCGCCAAATGATTACCCCGGGGCATGCCACAACCTGAGTGAATTCAGTTTATGCATTGCATTGAATGCCATAATCCTTCCCTCTGACGATTGGAAAATTCCTTCGCAGATCCTATAGTCTAAGAGAAACACTGAATTCACGTATACTCCAAAATGCACGATTTGATTTGTGAAATATTCCAGAATTTGCTGGTGAGGGCTCCCCAGACCCCCCCCCCCCCCCCCCCCCATTTTTACCCAAGAGCCAACAGCGCCCTCAATTTCTGCCCTTCCTCCTTTAAAATGACACTGCAGCTGGCGCTGGTCATAATTTTGGTGATGATAGATGCACAACCTAGTGGAGTAGCTAATCTCAAAGCTGTAAGTTACACAACCTAGTGGAGTAGCTAATCTCAAAGCTGTAAGTTACACAACCTAGTGGAGTAGCTACTGTTAGTGCTACCCTCGACTTGCCAAGATTTATGTCAAGCTCCATTGAACGATATAAACTCTGTATTTGTCATAAAATCCTGCCCCTCCATATAAAGAAAAAGTGACCTCTGGGCTGACCACCCAACCCGCCTCACTTGCAGTGGCGTAGCTAGAGAGTTTTGCGGCAGGGAACATTCACGCCCCCCCCCCTTTTTTTCTTTTTTCCTCCACAACTATGAAAACCACTATTTTGATGCATTAAATACCATCACACCCCATATTGGTGTCCCCGCGTGTATGGTGCATGAGGATATCTGTCCTCATCTCCCCCCCCCCTTAGTTACGCCTCTGGCCAATGTCACTGCTCCATCCCCCGGGGGAAATGGTCGAAAGAAACACTGTATATAAACATTGTGTGACGTCGCAAGGAGCATTGCAGTTCTGTGATCTTTAATTTAAGAAGGCCAACATTAGGCCTATAATAT